AACTCACGAATATTAATCACCGCGAACCATTTATCTTGCTATATATTTGTAAAGGACGTTTCCTCAGTCACGAAAAATAATCGTTGCGGATTGTTTTCAAACTGAAAAATCACAAATAAAAGATGACGCGAATAATGGTTGGTTTACAGTAATTTGTCATGTGAATCTTTGGTTGTTCCATTCTCCTTACTGCCCTCCATCAAAAAAGGAGAATGGAACAGCCAAAGATGCACATGACAAATTATATAACTTGTCATTTGCATTTTTGGTTGTTCCATTCTCCTTTCTGCCTTCCATCCAACCATATTTTGTATAGCAAGATATGAGGCACATAAAATTGACTTTCAAGGGGGGGGGGGGGGGGTTACTGCAAAAAAGGATGGGAAAGGGAATTTCCATTGAATTTTATATGGACAGTTATTGCTTATACATCCATTTATTGTTTGTTTCCATGGAAACAACATAGTGCAAAACCACTCCTGTTGCAGTAATTTTGATATATTTGTATTTTATTAATGTAAGTGTTCTTCTGTGTATGTGAGGGTAAGTGCGTGGTTAGAAGTTGATCAAGCACTGAGTCTCTAGTTTTGTATTTTGATAATATCAATATAATAGGGACTGTTCCTGAACTATTATAATGTGGTTGCCAAAGCAACTGTTTTTTTAAATGAATTTCTATTTTATTTTTATTTTATTTTGCTATTTTAATGCAACTGAAATGACAAGGTAAATTAGCTTGATTTATTTTATTGAAGAAGAAACATAACATTCAACGATGTGTACATTGATAATATCAATAGTAATAGGGATTGTTCCTGAACTATTTGGTTGCCATAGCAACTGTTTTTTTTAATTATGAATTGTAATGAGGTGAAATGATAAAGTTGATTAATTTGACTTATTTATTGATTCAGAAGAAGAAATATAATGCAATGTGGCTATGGTTATTTTATATTGTTGATATCAATAATTATTTGAATAGTTCCTGAACTATTTGGTTGCCATAGCAACATGGTATTTTTTTTTAAAATTTCAGATTTCTATTTTGTTTAAATGTTGAGTGAAATGAAAAGGTAAATTAAAGAGTTATTTTTTCATTAAGGATTTAATGAAAGCAGATATGTACAAAAAACCAGTCAAACATAGATTCTACAAATTAATCCAAATTCTCCATAGCAACCATTTTTGTTTTCATTTTATTTTATTTTAAGAAATATTACCACTCTAGAAATTTTATATTTTGTTTAGTATGGAATGAACTTTTACATGATGGTGGTCATTTGCTATGGAGTGCCTGCATTTTTTTGCTATTATTTGTAGAAAATGCCCAAAATCTGCATTTTTCAAAATTTGTTAAATTTGTAAAAATTGACACTTTGCATTGAAAGATCATTCATTTATGACCAACTACTGAATTAATACACTAATTGCGGTAGTTACTCCTATAAATAATACATCAGAATAGGTAACTGTCAATCCTGTATGAAATGTGTAGAAAATAAAAAATTAAGATGAAGTTGGTATAATTTTAGTAGAATGCTGCTCGTTTATGAGCTAAAAATGGCAGTTTCGGTAACCATGGCAACCGGTACTCAAATTTGTCTGTTGACCCCAAATATGATCTATACATGGCGTTTCTACATTACATGCAAAATATCAGCCAAATCTGTGATGTACCATTTCCAACCTTTTTCTAAATTCTTTGATGCTTACAGAGAATGACTCTTAAAAACTGTGTCACGAAAAATTGGGGGGGGGGGGGGCAGTCCGGTAAAAAATTAATAATAAGCATAAAAAATATTGAAATTTTAAATCAATAATAAAAATTTCATTAGAATAATGGGTGGGGGTGTGTAAGCTAGGAATGAAATAGACATACTCCCCTAAGAAAATACAAGACTATTATTGAAAATGTCTGCTGTCTAATTCAGTTATGTGTCTTACATAATAAAATATGTCAAAATCGAATTAAAAATTCATCAGCTGTTCGACTGAAATCGTAGAACATGCAATCTGTCTCAAAGGGCCAGTTTATTTTCTGTTATTCTGGATCGGCCCTTGTAGACAAGTTTAATTGACTCTATGTGTGGATTTTGCAGTTGCGTCTAACTATTATATTGTTGGCATCGTACTAGTACTTAAAAAACATCAATTACCTGGTAGTAACAAGCTCTGAATAAATCGATCATCAACCTGCTGGCTACGGGTCCTACACAAACTGAGCATGAACCTGTTGGCTATAGACCCTGATAAAACTGATCATTTCTATGGTCGATACAATGACCTAGTCAGCAAATACAATTTATCACTGAGTCAAATGCTGACTGACGTTTTTCACACTAATTGTTAGGCCATTATTTACACACTGAATTGTCGACGGATTTTTCCGTTATTTCCCGATCATGACAAGGAGCACACGGCGGGTGTGACCGGTCGGCAGGGGATGCTCACTCCTCCATGGCACCTGATCCCACCTCTGATGTTTGGAGGTCCGTGTTTGCTCTGCTCCTATTTTGTATTGATTAATGGACTTTTGAGCTTGAATACTGTTCGTTATCTCCATATATTTCATCATCAACCTGTTAACCACGTCATCAAACTGTTCGCAAAAGACTGAACACGCAATCATCACCCCTTGGCTACAGGAAACGAACACACAATCCTAAATCTGTTCGCTACAGACCCTGAACAAGCCTATCATCAACCTATTAGCTACAGGCCAAGAACTAGCTGATGATATTTTGTTGGCTACATGGCTTGAACAAGACAATCATCATGTTGGCTAAAGGTCGTGAACAAGACAGTCATCATGTTGGCTAGAGGCTTTGAATAAGACAATCACCATGTTGGGTACGTTCAGACCCTGATTAAGTCAATCATTACTCTATTGGCTACAGACCCTGAACAAGCCAATCATTGCTCTGTTGGCTACAGATCCTAAATAAGCCAATCATTGCTCTATTGGCTACAGACCCTGAACAAGCCAATCATTGCTCTGTTGGCTACAGACCCTAAACAAGCAAATCATTACTATATTGGCTACAGATCCTGAACAAACCAATCACTACCCTGTTGGCTGCAGACCCTGAACAACCATTAACATGGCTAAAATGGCTTCAGATCTGGAACAATTAAGCCAATCATTACCCTGTGGGTACAGACCCTAAACAAGCCAATCATTACTCTGTTGAATACAGACCGTGAACAATCATTAACATGTTGGCTTCAGATCTGGAACAAGCCAATCATTACCGTGTTAACTACAAGCCCCGAACAAGCCAATCATTACCGTGTTAACTACAAGCCCCGAACAAGCCAATCATTACCGTGTTAACTACAAGCCCCGAACAAGCCAATCATTACCGTGTTAACTACAAGCCCTGAACAAGCCAATCATTACCGTGTTAACTACAAGCCCTGAATAAGCGTATGATTACTCTGATATAGCCGAAGATCTGAAACCAAATGAACATCACGTTGCTATCTACAAGTTCAGTTTTTTGTTTATCAAAAGAAGAAATATATAAAACGTGGGGAAAAAATTATCCATGTCTTGATTATGAGAAATCGTTATTCATAATACGAAAGACTTAGCTTGATGTCTTAACCCAGCAAGCTCATTAGGGAAAAAGCAGAGATCAGAAAAGAAAGAATGATAAGAACTCCCCATTGAATTTTATCTTATTGTTAAATGTGATAGATAATCTTGGAATAAAAACCTGAAAAAAGGGAGGCGACTCCGACAACGCAGTCGAAATCCAAAACATTATTGAATGAGGATGTACAGTTTAATCTTGCTGTGTTTCACCTTAAACACTGAGGATGAATGAAGCTGGCTGATTGCAAAGTTTCTATCCCTGCAAGTACATGACAATGTGTTTTATCCACAGTGAATGTAAACACGCTTTAAGAAGTGTTCTCGCTTCTTACAGGTACCTATTTTATGATGATCTATCTTTCGTACATCTTTACATACAGATTACGAAAAAAGATGAATTCTGTTGACGACCACTGTATTTAAATATACTCTTTTTAAATAAATGTCAATCATAATTATGAAAATCACTATTTCATATGAGACTGAATTCTTACTGTTTGAATTAAATGCTTAGTTGAAATTTTTACAACTATCCTATTTTCGTTCAAGAGCTGATTTTATGTTCTTTTACTCATAACTACATGTACTATTTAAATGCAGTTCTCAACTCCTAGCAAATATAAAATACGTAATTATGGCGTCGCGCCAAAAAATATTTCTATTGCGCTATTTTTTTAATTTGGAAACAAATAACTACGTTTATATTTTTCTTTCATCAAAACTGTAAGACAAAAATGTTATGTCAAATAAACATTCTAACTTATGTAATTCAACATCATTTGACTTTGCCAAAATTAACACCAGAACCATGCGTGACGTCTATATAATGGCGATTTCAGACACTTAGCTAAAGCTGCAGCCCCATGAAACTTTCTGACTACAACCCATGGATAGAAACATATAGCAAACCTGCCTTTTGCTTTCAAAACATTATTTAAAAAGTATTTTTTGATTATCAACTTTGGTTAAACTCCTCAAATATATATATTATGCTGGCCTTCGATCCGCGCTAAATTCATTTTATGCAATATAGAATTACGTTGTTGATCCATTTTCAAATTGTTCACATGGCTACCATAACTTTTGTTCACTATGTGTAGTGAACATAGCGAATTAATGTTAGGAACATCGAAGTTTCTAGGTCAAAATGGAAAAATGAGGGCATTTAATTCATTGTCAATTTATACAACCATTCCATTCAACACTGAATATGTCATACCAGGATATATATATTACATGTACGTAATATTTTATTCAAGTAATATGCAAGCTAAAACTTAAGTACCGGTAATTCACTTAGATATGCAGAATTGCGATAAACGTAGTTTTTATCACTAAACATTACTGTTGAACAAAGTACATGGAGAGTGTATTCATAATGCAGTTTTTGGTTTCCAAGTTTTATCTATATGTATCTTCTCAATACATTCCTTATGTACACACCGACATTGAGAATACAGTTTATCAAGATCTCGGGAATCTCGAGATGTCAAGAGAATCTATCAAAACTGCTTCCCTACGAACAAATTTCATTTAAATTGACCTCGATAAATTATCTCTTATCATCGAAGTTCTCACTAAATTAAATCTTTAAAGTGATGAACGTTCAATCTAACACCAGCAATTGAAAAGATGTCCTCCAAAGAAAACCCTGAACCCGAAACACAAGGACTAAAGGGACCTTCTACTGCACAGAAAGTGGTCAAGACTGCTTTTCTGGTTTTTATATGGATCTGTATAGTAAGTGAAAGAAAAAAAAATTGTCTGGTTTTTATTCTGAAAATTGATATTTTCTTTTATGAATTTAGAATAAATTTATAATTGATGATCTTACATTTTCATCAACAGGTACTGATATACCGAGCAGTTCAATATCGAGTAATTTTATAACTCTAAACAATGGCAAATATTTCAGATTATTTTTTTTAAATCTAATAAACATGTTTTATTATGCAGGGACTGAATTTGGAAATAACTGGACCAACATTAAAAGACCTCAAACTTCGTGCACATCTGGACTATGAGGAGGTATCGAGAGCTGTGTCCGGTAGAAGTATCGGGTTCTTTATTGGAGCTGCAATGGGAGGGTTTATTGTGGATAAACTCGACCCCCTCTGTGATCTGGTGCTGGCCATATGTCTAGATCTGATGGGAACAGCAACTATTGTAGCCCCATATTCTGAAAATATCGGCTTGATGTGGTTTCTTTTTGTAATGCAAGGAACATTTGAGGGAATCATAAATATAGGTACAGTCACAATAGAGTTACTTTGACTTTATCATAACCATGATAGCGTAGAGAGATTTCTTACATTTTCACCAACAGATACTGATTATATACGTTTTTATAATTGCAGCTGGCCAAAAGCTTGTTCTTGAAATTTGGCAGGAAAAAGCGTCATCTCCTCTGTTTCTCTTACACTTTGGATTCGGGATTGGGTCCTTTATCGTTCCACAGATTGCAAACCCATTTCTAGCTGTTCCTAAACCAACGGCCGCGGCTAATTCCTCTAACATCACCACGGTCGTACCTATATCCACAACAGAGACTACAGAATTGTTAAAGGAGTCCAGAATAGAGTGGGCCTACCTGATCGTTGCTTTTATTGCTATAGGGGTTTCATTTGTGTTTTATTACTACCAATTCTTTGGTAAATGGTCAAGGAATACTCATGCCAATAAATCTTCAAAAGATACAGATGTGCAACCAACTATTCGCGAAATAATTGATCCTGCGACATGTGCAGATGGAAATCGCCTGTTTGGTATACACGTTCTGGGACTGCTCTTTCTTTTCTTTTTTAATGCTACTGGTGGTGAACGAGTTTATGGTAAATTCATTCGCAGTTTCGCTATTGATCACAACAAACTAGACGGAGATGAGGCATCTTTGATGAATAGCTCTTTTTGGATCAGTTTTGCTATTGGGCGTTTTTCTGGATTTGTTGCTGCTAATTGGATTTCCATTCGATTTATTGTTTTGATAGAAGGAACAGGAGCTCTTGTCTCTGCGGTTCTTCTGAACATCTTTGCTGAAGACAGCACTACGATGTTATGGGTCCTGACTCAGCCAATGGCCTTCTTCATTGCCCCTTGTTTTCCATCCGGTGTGGGATGGGGTGATTTTCATATTCATTTGTCGGGAGTTGGGATAACTTTTCTTCTTTTAGGAGGAGCGTTGGGTGGTGTTTGCTACATGTGGATCATAGGGTATTTCTACGAGAACAATGGGCCACTTTCTTTCTTTTACATCATACAAACTTATGGTATTCTTATGTGTGCCCTAGCTTTCATAATGCATTTCTCTACCTGGGGAAAAGGACACCGATTTAAAAAGGGAGCGAAAGAAATCGAGATCGAGACTGTGGATGTTAAATCAGTGAATCTTAAATTGGACGAGAAATCGTACAGTGAAAAACTATGATTATGACCAAAATTGGTTGTCTTGAAGAATTTTCATCAATTTTAATAAAAGATCATTGTCATAAATTTTATATTTAATTTTGAATTTCATTTTTTACACTTCCCCTTTTAAAAAGTGAATAGCATTTTATATCTTGCCTGGTGGAATTTTTTTTTTGATTTGCATAATTACTAAATTAAATACATGTAAATCCTGGTCGACAAAATGGTCTTTTGTTCAATCATTCTCCGACAATTACACATGCAATTTAGTGATTATATAGCAGATTCACAAGAGCAAGTCTTAGAGGCAAAAGGGCCTCAACACTCACTTGAGTAACCTAGCTTGGTTCTCTCTGTTGTTCATATGATTTAAAAAAATATATTATTCCCACTAAAATAAATTTGACAACCGATTGTGACCCCACTGTCGTTCTGACATAATTTCTATTTATCAATTAAAACATGCATTATAACTACTTAGTCATAATTCATATTTTTATTGATAAATAGGAATTATGTCAGAAAGACACCACCATAGCTCAAAGGAGTCAAGACTTATCCGAACATGAATCCCCACATTATGAGTATGCTACAGTATCACTATCTCTATCATTACCTCGTCGTTCCGTAGAAGATTTTTGTCCAAAACATGCATTATGGAAAATTTGATCGCATATTACAGACCCACCATAACATCAAGGTCTATAATTTGAAAAAAAAGAACAAAACAAAGAAAAACTTCAATTCAAACAATTTGGGAATGTTGCATATTGATATGATTAATTATAGCCCTGCTTTTCTACAAAAGATATTTTTTCATTTACTTATAATCTCATGTTAAACTTAGCCTCACCTTAGCCCCAGAGATCTAAGGCCATGAGAATTGATATGACTACTGATGGCCCCATTGGTTCAAGAAGACAATTGAAAAAGATTTTTCTCTATATATTGATCCACTCTTTTGGCCCAACCTACTCACGGAGTCGTGAATCAAATTCTGCGTACCTGAGCAAGATTGCATATCAAAATGGCTAATCATGACCCTCTTGACCGTGAGAAAAAAATTTCGAAGCTTTTTTTTCCAATACCCCCCCCCCCCGTGAACCTTGAACCGATACTCTGGCCCCCTGCCTTTCCCCTATCCCCAATAATTTAACCTAAGCATACCTTGGTATTAGTTTGACTAATTGTGACCCTGTCATTCTTGAGAAGATGGCTGTATATTAAGATGATATCGATACTACTCTTGAGAACATTTAAAAAGATTTTTAGGTCACCTGAGTCACTCAGGTGACCTGTTGCTATCCGTTTTCGTCCGTCATCGTGCGATGTGCGTTAACATTTGAACATTTTCAGCTTCTTCTCTGAAACCGTTGGAACAAGAATTGCGGAATTCATGGTCAGTGCCCCCTAGGGCCTGAGGGGTGGGGCTAAAACCACCAAAATTAATGCATTCTTTAAAAATCTTTAGTAATCTTCATTACTCCTGGACATCAAGCAGTCAAACTGTTGACATGATTGTAATAACATGGAGTCCTCTACCAAAAGTGTGAAATTCATGACCCCAATGTCAAGGGGGCTGGGGCGGGGCTATATAGATCATATAGTGAAAGTGCATTATTTCGTTGAAAATTTTCTTCTCTCCTCCTGGGTATTAAACAAACAAAGTAAGTAATTAGACAAAGCAAACATGCCTCTTCCAAAATTGTGAATTTCATGGCCCCTGGGCCAGGGGTTCTGGTGTTAGCGTGGGACTCTATTGATTATAGAGTGAAAATGCATTAATTCTTTGAAAATCTTCTTCTCTGCTCCTGGGTATTATTTAAACAAACCGAAGTGCATGGTTATGATAAGCAAATGACGTTTTATAAAATAATTAAACGTTTGCTTGTTGTCAGTTTCATTAAAAAATGTGTGTGGCTTAGATCCACCAACCGCAACCACCACCGTACTCTCTTTTTGCTATTTCATAACTGTTTATCGGAAAGGAAAGTAGATTTTTTTTTTATTAAATTTGCTATAATTGCTATGCAAGTGAAATCTTAATATAAGTTTACGGACATCATCTCATACCTATTGTAATAAAGAAGAGGACATTTAAGTATGAACAGGCCTTCAGTATGTGCAGGAGTTTCGAAGTTTAGTTGCAAAGTTTATTATTAATTAATAAAATAGATATGAAATAAGAGCATTTCAGCATTTCTCAAAAGCTCTTATATCATTCATTTTCCGACAAATTATTAATCATGTACTTTTAATCTGCTTTTTTTTCTTTGAAATCGATGGATATATGAGAAATGATAGTTAATGTATCAACGAGATATTGTCTTTGCATGAGTCTCGCCCAGTTCTCGTTTTTTCCTCATCCAAAGATCATATTGATCTTCCAAATAAAATTTGGTCAGGGAATTTCTCTTTTCAGTTTTCAGTCTTTTCTTGGCCAACTCTGTCAAGGTAGCAGACCTACCCGTCTTTTACTAGCCATGCTGTTTTGTTTATGATAAGTACGCATGCGTGCATAGCATGGAAGGCGGACCCCTTACACGGTGTGAATCAGATGTGTATTTTTTGTGGGCCATAAATAATAATCATTTTAAATGATATAATCAAAATTATTTAATTATGAAACTGTTCTTATTGAATTATCGCGTATGTTGTTCTTATACAGAGAAAACTTGTAAATGTCTGACTTCTTCCAACAGACATACATTGTACAATAGAATTTTAGAGTTAACGTTAAAAAAAGTTATATACTGGTCAACGTTTGCGCATACGAATTAGTAACGTTTATTGATCTTCTAGTGAACATTTACTATTTGTTTTCTTTATAGAATTTATAGATTTTACTCTGCTTCAAATTGACCATTAATCAGTAATTGGAGAAAACAAATGCACCCTGTCCCAATGGTTTCAACAAATATGCAAACTTGCTAGCAGTTGTTTTCTGTTAAATAAAATGCAAAAGACTGACAAATCACACGGATGAGACATTAATTGTAAGTTAATTTTATAATAAAGAATTAAATTTTGGCGTTAAGCAACTATTTCTCTTTGGATGGTAAATACTTAGGCTTTTAAAAATGCGTTTGTGTCGTTGACTTTCTCATAAATTTCTTCAGATTAATCGACAGTAATAGGTAGAGCAAAATCAATCCTAACAAACGTAGTGTGTGTATATATATACTATTTGTGTTTTGATTAACTTGGCATATAAATGTATGTCAATCGTCTGCCCACAAATTATCATTTTGAATTCAAAATTTGGTGTTACCTTTATGAAAACAAATTTCCTACTCTAAAAATGGAATGAAGACAGAATTTTTTGAACTGCATAAACAAACGAGCACAAGGGTACTCTACTTCAATCAATCACTGGCATATCCGACATATGATATTAATTCATATTTTTCCACAAAAAGGGTTATTTAAAAAGAATTGTCATTGCTGAAAATGTTGCTTTAAATTTTTCACTAATTTATAAGCAAAAAATAGACCAAATAAGAAAGTAAGAGAGAAAAAGTAAAACGGTCGGGTTTCACAAAACTATTGTAAGATTTGTCCTAAGAATTAAAGAGAGATCTTAAGATTATCTTAAGATGTGACTTATAACAATTATAAGATTTGTCACTGCTGTTTCACAAAACTTAATACAAGTCTTTAGACAAATTTCATACTTCATTTTTACAAGGAAATTTTTAAAAATATGTTTACACAAAGTTTAGTTGTCTTTCTTTCATTTTCTTTAAAATATTGAAAGAATAGGGTATCTCAAGTAATTTCTTCTGCAGTTACACTCTCAGAAATAAACATTTTATTGCATCAACTTCCATGTACTTTGGGGGGGGGGGGGGTCAGAAAAGAAGAACAGAGCCATGATAAACAAGTATCTACAGGTAGTGAAGACTCTTTTTTTCAAATCTTGGCCGGGTGGGGTGGGGGGGGGGGAGTTACCTACTTACATATATATGGCCGAAAGAAGCAAGTTCTGGGGGTCTGAAGGGGGCAATTTCAGTTGGGAGGTGGCACAAGCAAACAAAAAAAAGAATGATTATGCACAATCATAAAGTAGGTACATTTCATGTTTCCTATCGTATATTATTTATGGGCAAAGTTATTAGGTGGAGGGGGGGGGGCTGATATAATCAAAACAATTGCTCTATCTCTAAACACTGTTCCCTTTTATAAATCCTTTGGTTTTGAGCCAAAAGATATATTGTCGACATGTTCACTTTAGACTTAAGACAGGTATCTAGTTGTCTTAAGATTAAGACAGTACGTCTTGGATTATCATAAGATATGGGAGTTTTGTGAAACAGCTATGGTGCAACCTTACGATAATTTTCGGTCTTAAAAAAGATCTTAGTCATAAGATAGTTTTGTGAAACGGGTCCCAGCTGGATTTGAACTTCCAGTCATGTACTTAGTTATTAATTGAACAATTCAAATTCTTTACTAGCTTAATTCTCTGTGAAAAATTTTTAATGGACTGATTTCATAAAAAGAGCTTTTTAGTCTACCAGAGATGAAAGCCTTTCTGATCTGAAAGGTGTCTGTCTGTCTGTCGTGTGTATTCTGTTAACTTTTTACATTTTCAACTTTTTTAAAACCACTGAGCCAATTTCAATCAAACTTGCCATAAGGCATACTAGGGTAAAGAGGATTGAAGTTGCCCAAATGAAGGGCCTTCCCCTGGCCCTTTTCAAGGGGAGATAATGAAGAAATCGTAAAAATTTGGTGACATCTTTCAAACATTTTGTCAAGAATTACTGATCAGAAAAGATGAAACTCCCTAACATGTTGTAAATTCAAGTTTATTCAATTCATGACAATTTCATACGGTTTGGCCACAATGAGACAGGAAGTTTTACGTGTGAAATATATGAATAATCTTTAAAAATCTTCTTCTCAAGACTAACAAGGTCATGATTAGTCATACCAATATTAATATGCAAGCATCCCCAGATATGGCAGAATCAAATTTCATCAATCCATGACCCCTATGGCTAGGGTGCGGCTGCA